AGGGAAGGAGTGGCGTGATACTAGTCACTTGACCTCGCTGACGCAACAGTTTCAACAAAAACTGCAATAGTGTTGTTATGTACGCCTAACTTAGGAATAAATTTGCCTAAACATTTCTCTCTTAATAGAAGCGATAATTCTTACTACTAACACTGAAATAAACCACTCATTCGTTATTCAATATTCATTAACTGCTCGTTCACTGACTGCTTCAATTGGTATATCGTATCCTTGTTTCTACATATTGTAAGAGGTCTTGCCTCAACAATGATGGACTTTCTAGACACGCTGTACCATCATCATTATTAACTCCCTCTACCTAACAAACATCTAATATAATATATTGTTTACAACACCACCTCTTTCCTGGAGTGTGAAAATCTCTTGAACAATTCTAATACAAATATAAAACACTAAACTGTACATTCCCCAAATATTTTCGGTGGTTTTCTTTTCTTAGGGTTACTGTCTACAGAAGGGATGGCCTCTTGTCCCTTATTGCCACTTTTTATCCTGTCACTAGATGAATTATCCTAAAGTAATCAGTCGAGTGAATCCACTGGTAGATCTATCCTTGATGATCCTTAGGAAGTGATCCCGGCAGGAACTTCGGATTTCACAGCAGATTGACTTTCCACTAGCCAATATTTTTTTAGTTACTAGTTGGCTATTCTCTCATAAACATACTTCCAAAGATGACCACGGTGGATGACCTTTGACTTAGGCTGCCTGTCCTTCCATATTCTGTAAAACACATCAATGATATTTAGTTTTTGTAATATAAATGTTGTTCTTCCCAAAACTTCGATAAAATCCAATCTTAGGAGCATAGTGGCTTTTCATTTTATCACAAGTTGATTTAAGTCTTTCCCGGGTAAAATCACGAGGTCTCTTCCAACCATTAATCCATCAGAACTTGTTCCAGTATGCCCAAGTCAATAGATGTAGATTTATTCTCATTAACTCCTGATATAACTATTTCATTTCTTTGTGGTATAGTTACTACCCTATCTGTTATCACTGATAGTAGCTGTTGTCTCCAAAATGTAAGATATTTCAAAATGACAAGGTAATGCGATAGCTATAATCATTTTGAAATATCTTCGTGTGTTATTTTTTCACAAAGGATTTTTACAGTTATTCGTGTGTATATTCTGGCTGACTTGATTTTTTAAAAACAACATAAAACACATGTATCGTGACTCTATTACATAATCCGTTTTATTTTGTTCTGGTGTGAAGAGCAAAGCAGTTCATTTTGTTCTTGGATTAGCGATGCTTCACCTCACTCGTAGAAACGGTGTAAGAACCATTTTGCTTGACTAATCATATGTGAAACCAAAAAAATCAGACGTTGTCGACATCCCTAAATGATTTCCCGGTCTAATGAAAAAGATATAGAAGAATCGTGGTAGGTATTTAGATGTGAATTATTTCTATTCGCCTATTTCTCTACAGGATCGGGTTCTTGTTAGTAACAGTGGTCCGTATTGCCGCATGAAAAACAAATGGTAATAATTCAAGAAAGAGATATTTGAAAAGTTTTTTCGGTGTACAAAACTTGAAGAAAGCTTTTATATGCGGAAACATCTGTTAGCTGAGTTCTTGCACAGATCT